GGCTCTGAGCCAGGACACCAGCGGAAAGTTGTTGCTCTGTTATTATTTTTAAGGAACCAGCATCTATTTTCTAGAGTGGCCGCACCACTTTACATTCTCACCAGCAAGACACAGAGTTCCAAGTTCTCCACATCAGAATTGTTGTTTTTAAGAAGAAAAATACAAATTAAAATTTTGTGATATAATTTCTGGTCTTCTTTCTTTTTATTTCTCTTTGTCACTTGTTTTTATCACTGAAATCAAAACTACAGGATTTATGATACAAGACTTAGTCTGATTAGAACCCCAATTCCAAGTCTACAGACAGGGAGGGACAGAGAAACTTAAGTCATAAAAGTTAATTCATAGACTAGTCATATGAAATAGGGTCAGAGGGCAGAGTTTCCTCCCTAAAATTTTAATGCTTTACTATAGTCCTTAAAATGTGATGGCAAATTCAACTTACAACAAGAAGCTGAGAAGGAAGACAGAAGCAAGCTCTGAAAACAGCAAACCAAAGGCAAGCATGTACAAACAAAGAAGGAGTTTTGCCTTTCAGATGGAAATAGAATTAAAGATAATTAGGAAATGTGCACCTACATTTTCTGTGGCTTACTGATGGAGAGGTAATGAAGAATTTAGGCTTATTTTTTTCCTAACATTTTCTTCAGATGACTGTATAAGGTGAATGATGATAATTTGGTTTAAAATATTCTACGTATTTGGTTTAGATAAAATAAAGGAATGTTAAAAATCAAAATTAAAATAAAACTTTCAACATTTGAAAGGCTAGAATTACAATCATCATTTTAGAAATAGGAAGAATCATTTTTAAAAAGTAAAACAATAGGATTCATAAAGCGACTTCTTTAATTAATATGCACAAATACACAATTTCTCAGGTTCATATGCCTGTTATGATGCTTTATAAAATATTCAGACATTAAAATTCTGAAGTGCCTAAATTTGTCTATACCATACTATAAAGAGAATATTTTACATATATTTAATTATTTCATATAAAAATATATTCTCCTAAAGCATAACAATAATTTTCACCTTACAAAACACAGCAATATAAATATAAGGAAACAAACTGGCATTTTTCTGATAAATCTCAATTTCATATCAAAGAGAGATTAAGATAAGTTAATTGAATTTTGTCCAAATTAATTCAAAATAGAATTTCAAAATTACCATCTGGATATGATGGAATACTGTGACCATCTCTCAGAGTTATTTAAAAATTACTCATATAGGATTTTGATTAGTTTAGCTACTACATGCACGTTGAGACTATTTCCAAGTAGACGATAACGCTGTTTGACTGTAATCTTCTCAGGAAATCCTAGAAAAGAAAGATTACAATTTATTATACATTTGTAATCTTAAGTACCAGAAATAAAAGGATGTATTCTTTAGTAAAAAGCACAGTGGTTATTTATATAAGTAAGTCCTTAAGGACTCCATGAAGTTGAATTAATAAATGAGAATTTGAAGCCAAAAGTATTACATAACATTGCATTGTTTACACAATGTGATATTATCACATCACATATTATATTATGCTCGGTACACAAACATGTGACACACATAGCATCCACAGAACTAATACAAATCTGGACATTAGTGCACTTTAGGAAAAGCAGTGGCTACCATTATTTCAGTTATTTTCTTTCATTTGATAACAGCATTAAGGAGACAGAATTCATACACTATAAATTTCACCTTTTTAAAGTATACAATTGAATGTTTCTTTAGTATAGTCACAGAATTTTGCATACATCTCTACTATTTAATTACAGAACATTTTCATCACCTCAAAAAGAAAGCCAGCCCACAGCTAACATCACACTCAATGATGGCAAGCTGAAAATTTTCCTCTAAGTTCAGGAACAAGACAAAGATACCCATTCTTGATACTTTTATTTCAACATAGTATAAGAAATCCTAGCCACAGCAAACATTAGGCAAAAAAAAAAAAAAAAGGAATTCAAATTGGAAAGGAAGAAGTAAAACTATCACTGCCTGCAGATGACATATTATATATAGAAAACCCTAAAGACATCATCAAAACATGATTAGAACAAATGAATTCAGTAAAGTTGCAGTATACAAAATCAATATACAGAAATCTGCTGTTTCTATACATTAATAACAAACTATCAGAAAGAGAAAATAAGAAAGTAATCTCATTAACAATCACATCAAAAAAATTAAGATACCTAAGAATAAATTTAATGAAGGAAGCAAAATACTTGTACACTAAAGGCTATAAGATATTGATGAAAAAAATTAACAAAACACAAATAAAGATACTTCATGATCATAAATTAGAGAATATTGTTAAGCAATCTACAGATTTAATGTAATTCCTACCAAAATTCCAATGGCATTTTTTACAGAAATTGAATTCACAATCCCAAAATTCATATGGAATCACAAAAGACCTCAAATAGCCAAAGCAATCTTGAGAAAGAAGAACAAAGCTGAAGGCATCATGCTCCCTGACTTCAAACTATATTACAAAGCTACAGTAATCAAAACACTGTGACACTGGCATAAAAAGACACATAGATCAATGGACCAGGATAGAGAGCCCAGAAATAAACCCATGCATATATGGTCAATTAATTTATGATGAGGGAGCCAAGAATATACAATGGGGAAAGGATAGTCTCTTCAATAAATGGTGTTAGGAAAATTGAGACAGCCACATGCAAAATAATGAAACTGGACCACTGTTTTAACACCATGCATAAAAATTAAGTCATAATGAATTAAACACTTGAATATTAAACCTGAAACCATAAAACTCCTGGAAGAAAACACAGGTGGTAAATCCCTTGACATGAATCTTGTCCATAAATTTTTGGATCTGATTCCAAAAGCAAAGGCAACAAAAATAAACAAGTGGGACTATATCAAACTAAAAAGCTTCCGCACAGCAAAGGAGATAATCAACAAAATGAAAAGGCAATCTACTGAATGGGAGAAAATATCTGCAAATCATATAACTGGTAAGGATTAATACCCAATATATATAAAGAACTCATAAAACTCAATAGCAAAACAATAAACAATCAGAGTAAAAAACGGGCAGAGGACCTGAATAAACATTTTTTCAAAGAAGACAGATAGATGGACAACAGGCACATGAAAAGATGTTCAACATCACTAATCATCAGGAAAATGTAAATTAAAATCACAATGGGATATTACTTCACATTTTTAGAATGGCTATTAACCTAAGACAAGAAATAACAGGTGCTGGTGAGGATGTGGAGAAAAGGGAACTCTTGTGCACTGTTGGTGAGAATTTAAATTGGTGCAGCCACAATGGAAGACAGTATGGAGGTTCCTCAAAAAATTAAAAGTAAAACTATCATATGATCCAGTAATTCCAATCTTCATATTTATCCAATGAAAGCAAAAACACTAATTCAAAAAGATACGCAAATGCCCATGTTCATCGCAGCACTATATACAACAGAGAGACTTGGAAACAACTTGAGTCCACTGATAGATGAATGGATAAAGAAAATGTGGTGTATACATACTAAGAAATACTACTAAGCCATTAAAAAAGAATGAAATCTTGTCATTTGTAAGAAGCTTGAGGGCATTTTGGTAAGTGAAATCAGAGAAAGACAAATACTGTATGATCTCACTTACATGTGGAATCTGAAAACCAAAGCAAGCAAGCAAGCAAGCAAGCAAACAACAACAAAAAACCCTAGCTCATAGGTAGAGAGAACAGACTGGTGGTTGCGGGGGCCAGGGAGCAGGGGACAAATGGGTGAAATGGGCCAAAAGGTACAAAATTCCAGTGATAATATAAATAAGTCCTGGGGATTTAACGTAGAGCATGGTGACTACAGTTAGTAATACTGTGTTGTCTGTTCGAAAATTGCTAAGAAAGATCTTAAAAGTCTCCATCATAAGAAAAAGAAATTTCTAATTATGTATGGTAATAGATGTTAACTAGATTTATTGCAGTGGGTGATCATTTTTCAATGTGTAAAAATACTGAATCATTATGTTGTAATGTTGTATACCTGGAATGAATACAATGTTACATGTTGAAGATATATACTTCCATAGAAAAGTTTTTTAAAAAGAATGCTGGTACCCATTAGCAGTTACTCTCCATTTCCCCTCCTTCAACTACTAATCTACTTTCTGTTCCATGGATTTACCTATTCCAAGCATTTCATATAAATGGAACCATACAATATGTCTTTTGTTTCTGGCTTCTTTCATTTAGTGTTTTCAACGTTTATTCATGTATAACATGCACCAATAGTTCAGTCCTCTCAATGTCAGAATAATATTCTATCATATAGATATACCACATTTTATTTATCCATTCATTCATGGATAGACATTTGGGTTTTTCTACTTTTTAATTATTACATGACGGTTAGGAACATGTACATATATCTGTACATGTTAAATTTTTGTGTGGACATATATTTTCAATTCTCTTGGATATAAACCTAGGGGTGTAACTGCTGGATAATTACAGTCACTCTATGTCTAACATTTCAGGAACTGTCAGGATGTTTTTTAAGGCTGCTGCACCATTATATATTCCCACTAGCAACACACAAGGGATCTGATTTCTCCACATCTTTTCAACACTGTTATTGTTTGTCTTTTTGTGAAATAGTGTCTTATTGTGGTTTTGATTTACATTTCCCTAATAATTAATGATGCTGAACATCTTTTCATGTGCTTATTGGCCATTTGTCTTTTTTGGAGAAATGTCTATTAAAATCTTTTGCCCATTTTTAATTGGACTATTTTTCTTTTTATTGTTGAGTCATAAGAGTTCTTTATATATTCTGGATACAAGGCCTTCAAGGTTGCTTTTTTATACTCTGCTCCCACAAATTGACTTCCTCATAGTGGAGAGATTTGTTACATTTTTTTTTTCAAAACAAAAATGTCCCACAGATACTACATTTGCTGGAACCAAACCTTGCACATAACACCATAAAAGACTGTCCATACATAACAGGGTCACTATAATGTTAATTATAATATCAGAATGTCACATTCAGTGTCCTTTGGCATAGCAATTAAATAAAGGAAAAGAAAATCAGATAATAAAATAAAGAAAGATCATTAAAAACAGCAAAATTTCACATAGCAAAATTTCAAACCTTGATAAAGTTGCTTTATCAACACTTGACATGATACTGCAATAAAATAAGTGATTACCATAATAAAACCATATTTGCAACTGAGCATGATCATAAAATTGCTATTATAAAGATAATGTCTTAGGCAAGCACATTAGTCATCTCAAAAACTATTTACTTCAAAGTAGCCAGAGGTAGAAATACATCTACAAACAAACTTTCAGAATATCCCAGGGGTGGTCTTTTGTGATATTAAGATTATATCAGAAGAGAAGAAATGTTTGAAAACAATAAGTCAGATTTGTAAAAACTATATATAGTGTGTGTCCATTTTACATACAGATGTTAAAATCCACATCCACTTACATAAATTTACATACATTTTTAAAGTTCAAAGGTGACTTTTTCAAAACTTAGGTACACTGAAAATAATAATAATCCTCAAAAACAAAGAAAGCTAGAATTAACGAGGTCAGGACAGCAGCTTTCATTCAGTAAGCGTAGATTAGTGTTCCCTTCTCCCAAAGCCCGCTCATGCCACTAGCCACAAAGAGAATTGGGACAAAATGTGCCATGGATCAATGCAAATCCATCACTGCCGGTAGACAAGCAGCTCAAAAAATGCCCATTTAGGACCCAGGGTCGATGATGTCAGAGGCACACGTGAAGGACAGTTCTGTCAGCCCTGCTCAGTGGTGACAATAGGACAAGCCTGACTACAAATATACCACATATTTTAAAGAAAGATTAAGCAATTAAACAGGCTTTCTCATGTCTTTTATACATATATTCTCAGAGAGCTTTGAAAAAAATCCTATTTTGCCCTTGAGATACTTTTATTAAATACTGAGAAAAAATATTTATGAAGTAAAGGTTATAAAAGCAAATAAATACCTATCATTTAAAACATAAAAGCTGATGCAAATTTTATATTATGTGTCTCTGTGTAAACATTTTACATATGTGAACTCACTTCACTGTCACAACAACCCTGTGAAGTCAGTACTGTAATTATCCCCACTTTACAGATGTATAAACTAAGGCAGAGAATGGATAAGCCGGGCCTAGGATTCAAACTCAGTTAGTCTGACTCTGGGATTTGTGCTAAATTTCAGTATTACCCAGGTGACTAGTACTACCAGAAAAAATAAGCACTCAAATAAAACTTAGAAACTAGTTGTTATTAGACAGTAAATCTCTTTTCTCTCTTTAGTACTGTGGAAAGTACTTTTGATTTGCTCATTTTAAAAAAGGAAAAAGAGTAACCAGGACAGTAGAATGGGAATTAAATTCCTGAGAGCAATTCTCAGCTCTTTTTATTTGTTTGATGATGTTCTCACTCACTGTGACATAAACTAAAACAAGGAAAGTCTGTGTTTTCCTTAAATAACACTCCCTGGGATATTTGGAACTGAATGAGATCATCAAGAAAAAGGCAGAAAGTACAAAATAAACCTGGTTGCTGTGACTACGCACGGAGAGTCCATTACCAAGAGGGTAGTCAAATTCTACTGACAATTTGTTCCCAATGTACAAAAAGATGCATTCCAAAATCTCATCTCTAAATCCATTATTTAGAATTTAAAACCTGATCTATATGATCACAATATGTTCTTCAAGAATAATACTTTATTTTATTATAAGAACATTAGATTTAGCACAGCAAAGTTTCACTTTTCTGCATTCAAGCTCCCAATCAGTTATCAAAAACACATTTCCTCCTTGAGGAGCCCTGGAGGCAGGTTAGGGAGGTCCACCTTTCTCCCTTCCCACAGCCAGGTGCTAGGAGCACGCTCACCCCCCCCCCAGGAAAAGGATGGCACCCACAGAGCAGGAGCGCCGAAGGCCAAGCAAGTGGGGTCAGGGAGGGTGGGGCGCTTGAAGAAGCAAAGGGCCATGTCCAGGGTCTTAACAGCAACAATCCCTGGATTTCCTGGACCACGAAAGGCGTTAGGACTTTGTCTTTATCACTCTACACCCCATCTTCATTTTTCTTTTGGGGATTCCCTCCTTCAGATCCCCTAATCTCTTGTCACTCTGGCATCTGAGTCACCCTTACTTTCCACCAGGAAAGCTGCTTCCTAGACTACCTCTCCACTTGGTCTCTCCTCCACTCAAACTTCTTCGGGAAGGACGAAGGTGCAGGATTGTAAAAAATGTCCCTCCGATGAGAAGGAATACAAGTACATCCCCCAACACACACAAAAATTCCTCCACTGCCTTTTAATTTCTTCATTAAATAAAAGACCATCCTAGGCAGTCTCAGAAGATCTAGTGTGGGGCTGTAAGAATAGGACCCCAAGAAAAAAAAAATAATAAGAAGAATAATTTGGAGAGAGATGCTATTAACAAGAACCTGTGGGGACACATGAGGAATTGCTGATTGGGCCCTTCTGTCCCTGCAAAGCACTTGGAATCAGTACTGGAGCAAAAGGGGAGGGAGAATTGAGTCTGAAGGGAACGGTCTAAGGCAGGTGACGAACACAAGCAGAGACAGAAGGGAAGGAAAATGTCAAAAACAGCACAATCAGGAAGGGAAGTTTTCTTACATCCATCACAATCCTAGTGAATTTTTAGGTCTTTAATAAGTAAAAGCTGGGATCCGCATGTAACCCACATACCGAACTCTGGAGGAAATCCATGGAGATTTGCTATTTCTTTAGGAGTGAAGAATCGAAGTTTGAGCGTTAACAATTTTGTTATCTTTTCTTCTTGTGACAAACTGGTAAGTGATTTGTAGACATTCTCAATCTGTAAGAAAGCATCCAAGATGACTGATCAAGTAGAGGGCAGCTACATTTGTTAAGATACCATCATCTATTGTGAGACAGTTTAAAAATGGTGGATGTGCAGTCTGCTGTAACACACGGAATCACAGGGCAAAACGTCTCTGTGCAGTGAACTGTATAACTGGCTCAGACTGCCAACGTAAGCTTTGAAAATGAACAAAAACTTCATGTGGAACAGATCTGGATACTTTCAGTGTATCTGTCCTCAAAAATTAACTCATAAGAATATAAATATTAATATTAATAATTGACATTAATGACATAATAAATGACATTAATAAATGACAATATAACATAACAGAAATATAGTGAAAACTACAAAAAAAAAGAAACTTGCTCAACCAATAAGTCAACTTTATAATGTGAACAAGTAGCCAATAAATGTTTATTGTTTATGACCAATTTTATCTAAGTGTTTTCTTTAAATGATAAAAAATATTTAGTAAATACAATTTCTCAAATCCAGACATTCATTTGCCTCTGATAGGGTTTTTTACCGTGGGTAAATTTTATTAATAGTAAGAGTTTAAATCAATATAAAAGATAATGTGACTTCACTTCAAAATTATTCAGAAGTATATAAAACCTGCAATATATGAAGCTTGTCTTCTATCATACTACAAAAAAAAAAAAATTTGCAATTGAAGTATTAATAAAAGGCCTTGCTAAAATTTAGATTTTTTTCCCTAAAAGGCATTTTTATAGTATGTGCTCCAAAGGAAGGCTCCAATAAGAAGATACTTGTGCGTAAATTCAGAAAATATTCACTATTATACTCTGCATTTCAAATTACTCTTTATGGACTAAAAAGGAATACAAAAGGTAAGATATAGAAAAAAGTAAAAACAAAGTATTTTTTGGACATATAGTCATATCTAGCAATAAGAAAAGATTTAGTCTATAGTAAATAATTATTATATACATATATTCACGCCAATTGAACATGTAAGATTACCTCAACATTCTCAAATGTTAAGTATTAGGCAAAGTGTTATTTAAAATAATTTTCAGATATTTTAGTTCTGAAGCATGCACAGTACCTGCACATCCTCTGTAGTCTGTAACACAGATCCTGTCCCTTCTACGTAGCGTCCGTAACTGAAAAATTAACATGAATCTTTTCATCTAATTGCTAAGGCTACATTTCTTAAATATTTCATGACTGAACTAATCCATTTTACAAAGTTATATTCTTCTGAAATATTCTGAATAATACCACATAAATATGCTTTGTGATTAAAAAATTACTAGGTGAAAGACAGAAGATCATTCTATTTAAACTTCTCAGACACTAAGCTTGGCATAGTTTTTTGTTGTGTAAATACAATTTTGCATTATGTAGTATTGTCATTTATTCATATTAAATGTCATTTTTAAAATATTCATCACTAGAAAGTAAGCACTTGTTATGACTTTACATCTAAATGCTATTCAATACTGGCAGCCCTGCAACATTACACTGAATGTTATGTAGGTGAAAATAAAATTTTTTTTTTTAAATAATGCCTGAACCATCATTTCTTCTCACAAACCCAAGACCCTACTCTCCAGTAGCATGACACACTCAGGCCCATCAAACATGCACCTGCCTCTTACTGTGACACAGTATGTTTTGACTTTTTATCATACAACAACCTGACTATGGGGAAAAAACTATTAAAAATATAAAACACTACAGAAATGCAACGTATTACTAATATTTCTTTCCCTAAGACCATTGCCAAGATGGCTGTTTGACATTTTATTTTTTCCCTAATACATGAATTTAAAACATAAATTAGATATAAAATATAAATTAGATATAAACTATAATTAGAGGAAAAAAGTCAT